TATTTACACTTTCGCAGTCACTCGCGTACAGGTTCTACGCATTCAGCTTCCGACGCTACTCCGACTCCTTCGGCATCAGCACTACGGCGCGCTCAAGCGTTGGCAACAGGCGACACTGCAACCTTGTCCAGTAGCAGCAAGCTCTCATCGCTATTACACAATCTTCAACCGAGTTCGAGACACGGAAGTTCCTCACATCTGGCTCAACCACAAATGAGGTCTCATTCCAGGTCTGATTCGGGCTTGGCTAGCGGGGCCGCCAGTCCTTTGCCCCCTCATGTAAGCACCCATTTCTATTTCCCTTTGTCTATTAACCCCTAACTCTCCCAGAAACACCTTCCCGGAAGTTCGTCGTCGGCCACTGTAAGAGCTCCTTACCCTGGCCCGGCACTATTGGGATCCTATGGGTCTGGTGTCTCCCTCGTATCCTCTAGCGGCAGCACCGTTGGCGGTTCAACGGTCGGCATAGAAAAGGACAACACAATGGGTGCACTCCATGTCCACGTTCTTCCTCTTTTCAACCGCGACCCTCTCAAGATCCCAATCGAAGACCTCAACAGTCTCGTCAAGAGACATATGGCGGCAGTCATTTCTCGAAGTCCGAGCAAGGCGGTCTCGCAGTTGGAGAGTGATGTAACCGAGCTCATTACTGCGGGTATGGTCACTTTGAACTCCAAGTTGGCGGCAGGAGTAGAAGAGGAGAAACTCGCCGGAAGAATCGTCGACTTATGGGGCTTCTTTTGGGATCAAGTTTTACCATACGTCGAAGGAGTAGGTCTAGCTCATATACTAAAGAGAAAAGAGCTGATCTTCTTTTAGGTCTTTCTTCCTTTACAAACGGACCTGATTCTGTCTTCATTGACCCGAACTTCGAAATCCAATACTGCATCCGCCTTGCACAATGAACTTGGCACCACACCCGTCACTCTCTCGGGCGGTCCTAGTATCGACGTTAGAAAGCTGGCATTACGTGCATTCAGAGACTCCATTGTTCTACCCGTCGCACCTCGTTTACAGAAACGGTTCTCATCTGCTAGCCGCGACAAGGATCTCAACTCGGAACTGGCCGACCATCATCGACCACGTTTAGAACAAATGTCAGTGATAAGAACTCACATAACAACCCCACTAACGAATACCGCTACTAGGCTTCTCGTACTCTCCTCCATTGCGACCTATACTGTTTCCCTCGCGTCCACCACAGAAAACACCCAACCGACTACTCCAGGTGAACGCGCAATCACCACTCTCCTCCGCCTCGTCCTATACCCTCCAGGCACTCACCCAACCGTCGTCGGTGCACCAGGCCCTCGACTCCCAAGCTTCCTCTCCGGCGGTGCACCCCGTGACAGACGAGGTCGTCTCGCCCGTAAAAGTCTCCAAATTCAATCAAAGGGTCTCTCCGGTGATCTAGACGACCGCCTCGCGACAGGAGGTCTTCTCAGTGCCGAAACACTGGGTACAGGGGGCGGCACCGGCGGAAGCGAACTCGGTCTACGAGATGACAATACCGATCGTGAGCGGGAAAGACGTGAACTGATCGAGTCTCTCCGAAGTCCCAATCTCGAGTTGAGCACGGAGAATGGGGAGCATGGGCCTGACCTTGAAGATGGGGATGAGGGTACTATGGGCGGAACGGTGATGCCTGGGGATCCTATGGAATCGTTGGGTACTGGACCTGGTGGATGGGGTGCGTCGATGAGTGGTGGGACTGGTGGGACGGCACGGCCTGCTGGTGTCGCGAGTGCTATGGACCATGGTGGGGCTAATAGGAGGGCGGCGGTGTATGATGACGAAGTGTACGACGATGGAAATGTGGCACAGTATGCTTCGGCGATACCTGCTGCTCAGCCAAGACGACCTTCTCGCAGTGGAGACGGTGACCGAGAGACACAGGCAGGCCCACCCGAAAGAAAACTGAGAATATAAAGGAAGAGTTAGGGACTGCCCATCATGTACTTGTCATGCTTATTATTGGAAAAATGAATGTCAAAATCAAATGTATTATGCACTATGAAAAGATGAAGGTCGTTATAGATTTGGAGCACTATTTCTTTCTTCTTTTTATTTTTATTTCTTTTTCGAGAAACTTATCCGAGTCGCTCAAGCCCGTTCAGCCTCACGGTTGCTCGTAGATGGCTGGTTGGTAGTGCCATCCTCGGGCTCGTGAACCTTTCGGCCAGCAATGTCCAGACCATCAATGGCGTTCTGCGCGTCGCTGAGGAAGTAGTTGGGCATGAGGAGTGCAAGTGCGATGGGGATGAGACCTGTATAATGTCAGCTCATGTTCATGGTGTACAGACGGCGGGAAAAACTCACCAAAGACGAGAGCGACAATGATAAGGATGCGCATCGTGTCGCCGTATGCGGCAATGGCACCTTGGCGCACGGGGTCAGAGGGGTCGAGAGAACCAATGGTGATGATGGATCCGAAGAGCGTATCACGCTCTTCCTGAGAGATCTGGGGAATGTACTTGGCGAGGTTCGCCGGCATCACGTTGGTCCAGATTGCTCCGGCTGGAGAGAAGAAAAGAATGTTAGCACGAATGTACAATGGATACACGGGAACGCACCGATTGCGGAACCAATAGCACCTCCCAATTCGGTGATCATCAATACGATGGCAGTGACCATGGCCACGTATTTATGGGTCACAGACGCCTGAGCACCGACTTGGATCGTCGTGGCTGCGAAACCACCACCAGCGGCTTGAAGGATCTGGGTCATGACGAGTTCGGCATCGCTTCCGTCTGCACCTCGAGAGTGGATCATGATACCGACACCCAAGCAACGAATGCACAAGCCGACGACGAGGATCCACTTGTAGCGGCGGGTCCATACCATCAAGCCGGCCGCACCAATACCGAAGAGGGTCAAGCCGACGGTTTGGGTGGATGAGAAGTAGTTTTGGTCGCTTTGTGACCAGGCGGGCGTCTTCATTACATAGAGGAAGGATGAGAGATAGAGGAAGGTCAGGTAGAACGAGACCTAGGGTGGCAAGGCGTCAGTATGCGAGTTTGAGAGCATGTCTTGGGACTCACGAAATCGAAGAATCCGATAAAGGCGGCGCACATGACGGCTCTGTTATTGATCATGAGCGCAGGAATGAGAGGGTGCTTCGCAAACAGAATCTCATAAGCGGCAAAGGCGATGATAATGATGGGACCCATCACAATCATGGCAATAATAGATGCTATTAGCCGCTCATTAGCTAGGAATAAAGGCGCTGCAGATAACGGTACTCACGGTTGTTCCATTTGCCAGGGACAGATGCAGAGAGTGTAAGCGCAATGAGTAACAATCCCCAACCGATGCCAAGGAGTAAAATCCCGAAAAGGTCAATATCGGTGGCAAACTTGATTGCCTTGTTCACAAATCCCCTTGCGCCGCCGGCATCGTCCGAGATGAGTTGAGCGCTCGGGTCGACCTTGATGAGTCCCTTTTTCTGTGCCCGACGCTCACCCCAGGCGAGAGTGCTGATGACTGGGAAGATGGCGCATGGCAAGAGGATGGCGAACATGCCGTAACCCCAACGCCAGCCATTAGTCGGGTTGGGCGTTGTGATCGAGGCAGCAATCTTAGAACCGACAAAGGCGTTGATGATGTAAGGAAGAGACATCAAAGACGAAAGGAGACCACGGTAGCGGAGGGAAGTAATATCGGCAATGATGACTTGGGTCAGGAGCTGAAGACCAGTCGAGCCTCTGTATGAATGATGGGTGAGCACGTGAGATGAAATGTGTGGACAGGTACTTGCGCTGCTTGGAATACACGACCGGCTGCGAATTGGCTGACCGAGTTGGAGGTGCCGATAATAACATATCCAAGGACATAGAGGATGACTGGGTGGAGTGAGGCCAGGTATGAGCGGCGTCTTACGATGAGGTGTTCCGTTACGTACCAACAATGATGTACGCAAACGAACGAGACTGCAAGTCGGCGATACGAGCAATGACGGGCTTTCCAACGGCGACTAGGGGACATTAATGAATAGTATGAACATAATCAAGGGACTCACGAATAACAGCGGCGGCGACTTCGATGCTTGCCAACAGAGAGTGGTGAGAGAACGAGCTGGTCGCGAAGGCGGTGTAGAAATACGTGGTCGAGTTATCGAGCGAGTAGACGTATGCGGCGAGTCCAAGACTGATAATGTGTGAGTATAATTTATCAACAAGTGCCCGGGGAGAGCCCGAGGGAGCCACACACCTGATGTATAGTACCCATCGTGAGTACTTGCCCCATACCTTGACGGCAGCTTCTGCTTTGCCAGCTCCAAAGTCTTCTCTAGCTACGACAAGATGTTTATCGGATGCGGTTGGGCTCGCATTCTCCTCGTCAAAGCCACCCTTGTGGTCCTTGCCGTCAAGCGAATGCCTGATCTTGTCTGGAGAGTCTGATGACATCCAAGCTGGTACTCCTGTATCTAATTCGTCGAGTAGAGGTTGACTAGTGCTTCTTTGTCGCCTGTTTCTCGATACAGAATCGAAGCGCGACGAGGCTAGTAGCGGAACAGAGGGTCCAGCTACGGGGGAGTCTAGCGAATCGGTCGAATATCGAGACATGCTTCTCGCTGCATTTATAGCAAATAAAATAAGCTTCGCTGATGGAAAAGTG